GAGAGAGAGAGAGAGAGAGAGAGAGAGAGAGAGAGAGAGAGAGAGAGGTGGGCAGGCTGGGAAGTTTGGTCAAACATATTCATTCCTTGGTTGTTGGCCACAATACTTTGCCCTGCCTTTTAACAGACCCACTGAGAGACTTCCTCTTACAAGATGAGAAGCACCAGGAGCCAGGCCCCTGCAGCCATGCCGGGGGACCAACCTGGCCCTGCTCTATATAACCATCAGTGGCCCCACGTGATAGAAGTTTCCCATACAGCCAGCATGCTCCGTGAGAGCCTGGCCTTTCTCTTTTAATACCTTTCCCTTACACAGTGACATCATGTTGTAAATGAGATGGTTTTAGATATTAAATAATTCTACTGTCATGAAGTCGTGGATCCAAACACCTAGTGTTTCATTTTCTTGTGTTATTTTAGTCTCTTTAGACCAAAATGAGTATTCTTAGTCTCAGCGTTATTTACATACTGCACTGTAGGAGGCCGGCCTGTGACATAGAGGACATTTAATGCTATTCTAGCCTGTACCTACCATCCACCAATAACACTGTCTGCATCCAACATTCCAAACATCTTCAATTCAAACACGGTCAAACCTCCCTTGAGCGTAAAACTGTTCTAGGCTGAGAATCAGGGGCTAGGGATTGACACCGCTACCTAATTTGAGGACTAGGTTTAAGCGGTTGTGACAATGATCAGACCTCTGCAGACAGGGGCCTTTTTATTTATCAGGCGTGCTTTTCTTTCATATATGTAGCCTCCCCACCCCCCACTTATTTGTTCAGGAGTTCCAGATGTTGTTGGACAAGGGCCTGGGGGAATTGATGTACAAACCAGTGCCTCTCTGGTTAGTGGGTCCTGGTGGGCTGTCTGCCTGGGTAGTTTTCCTACCCAGTAGGAAAAGTAGGGAGCTGAGTTACAACAGTCTCTTGAAGGTACTCAGGGCCCTAGATCTAGCAGGAGGTTCAGACTGGTGGCAAGACTTCCCTTCTACAGAGTTATGTTCCCCTGTGTCCTTCAGGGCCCTGAGTCACCCAACCATGAATGTTCAACAATAGCCAACTCACCTCTGTGGATGTGTGCCAGAGACAGTAAGGTGATATGGTGCATGCAGGAGTTCCAGGCACTGAAGAAATCCCCTTTCTTGGTTACCACCTGGCAAGGGATGGGAGAAAAGATCCATGAGGAATATTTGGAGAAAAGTGAACTTGAAAATTTCCTTTTTAATTTATTTTCTTGTTTTTTTTGGGGGGCGGTGTGGGTGTTTAAGAGAGAGGGAGGTGCTGGGGCTTCTGGCATACAAGCCAAGCGCTCTACCATGGACTGAATTACACTATCTAATAACATCCTCATCTAATTTTATATCCTGAGACAGAGCCTCACTGAGTTGTCTGGTGGGCTTAAACTGGTGATCCTCCTGCTCCAGCCTCCCAAGTACCCAGGCTTAGAGGCCTTTACCAACCAACCCAGCAAATATCCAAACGGTCCATACAACATAAATGTGGGCATTGCGCAGTCACTGAGAGGCTGGCTGCACGACCTGTGAGAACAACTTGTGAGCAGAATGAATGTCCTGGGGGTGTCCAGGAAGTCGTGTGTGTGTGTGTGTGTGTGCATGTGTGTATATGAGTGTTCATGTATGTGTGCATGCATGCGTGTGTGTATGTATGTGTGTATGTGTGTATTTGAGTGCTCGTGTATGTGTATGTATGTATCATGAGTGTGTGTATGTATGCATATGTGTATATATATATGTGTATGTATGTGTGCATGTGTGTATATGAGTGTTCATGTATGTGTGTATATGTGCATATGTGTGCATGAGTGTGTGTGTATGTTAAGTCCTCACACATCAGGTATGGTGTCTAGTTATACCTGATACCTAGGAGGCAACACATGTTCAAGGAGAAATTTAAGGTGGGCCTGGTGGTAAAGGCCTGTAATTTTGCTTGCTCAGGAAGCATATATACAATAAACTATGTCCATTTAGCAAAGTTATAGTAGTAGGTTCAGTCTTGGGTGACAAGCTGACTGTTGAGGTTCAGTACTCAGTGTGAACTGCCCTCTCTGTCCTGGCTTCCACTGCCATCGGGTGCTTCCTTTTGTGTTCAGTATCTTCCTGCAGGCCTGGAACATCTCACAAATTGCTATCCAGTGGTCTCTATGTCTGATCCACATGAGAAATGAACAATCATGGAGACAGGAGCCACAGCCTGTCCATGTGCATTACTTCACTGGTACCCACCAAGAGGCATCATTCAAGAGAGTCACCCTGCGGGTCTCCTGGGCATGGAGCCCGAGGCCCCTCTTATCTAACCAGAGACCTGAGTTAAAGTTGGCGCTGCTGACCTTCACTCTGTTCCTCCTTCTCTTTCTTTGTTTCAAAGACTGAATGATTTGATATTAAACTTTTAGTGACTTTGTGTGTATGTTCTCAAGGAACTAAGACTCAAACAGAAAGTTACACTTGATGTATCAACTTCCCATTTGTGTCACCCCCAAGCTGACGGGCCTCTCAGTTGGAAAGTAACCAACTTTGCGGTGGCTTCGCCTCTTCAGGGCCTGGAGCTCTCTCTGTCAGGTGCCTCCTCTAATGGTGCTTTGTGCGCTAGCGGAAAAACAGATCTGCAGAGAGCCTCTGCCATGTATAATTCAATATGAGGACCTGGGGCAGTGGGCACAGTCAGCAGAGCCATGTCACATGACTCTCCAGCTCCACAACTAACCGGGCATCATGACAGTTAAGGGAATGGACAGACAGTGTCGGCACGGATGCTTCCTGAATCGGCATCTCCCTGGACAGGTGTCATGATTCTAACCGACGAGGCAGGGCAGAGTCTGGTGACTCTCTTGACCCCGTGGTGGAACATTCACGGAAACTCTGGCAGTTGCTGCAAGTTCCCGAAGAAAGTCTGGAAACAGCACCCATCTATCGCCTTACAGAATAATGCCAGGGCTTGGCTCTCCTGAAGAGCATGCGCAAGGCCGCGGGAGGAACAAGCCACCATGCAGATGGCCCAAACAGAGTGACGTGGGGGGAAGCTTTCCACTGGACTGACCATCAGAAAACCAGGGACAGCTAACTGACTGGAAAGGCCCTGGAGACGTCTTTGCCTCTTCAAAGAGCATGAGAAAAAGGGGAAAGAGGATGATCCAGGGAGCAGTGGGTCCTCCAAGGCCCCCGGATGCTGGCATCAGCTCTGAGAACGTCACTGCCCACAGGTGTAACAACTTGACTGCAATGCGGGGAGTTTAGAAGAGTCTTTACTAGCAATGTTACAATACAAAGGAAATCAGCCCTCCTCCTAAGCACCTTTGTGGGGGGTTTAAGACTTTTAAAGGGACAGTTGTCCTTTATCTGCAGCGGTAAATAGCTACTGGAAGCCTGAGTTTAAACTAGGCTCATCCAAACTGAGTCCTTAAAATGTACCAGGCAATAGGCACTGTCGTAAGCTTTTAATTTGATTTGATCATTCATTTAATTTTCAGAAGCCATCGATATTTGCTGATATTTTCATTCACAGGCTGAAATCGTGACCCAGAGAGGCTGAACGATTTGCCTAACATGGCAGAGTGGAGTTGGAAATGGACGCACAGACTCCAAAGCTTCTGCCCTGTCTCCCAAAGGACCAAGGTAAAGTATCCGAAGCCCTACCCTTCCCACTTGTAGGGCTCATGTTACCACAGGTGACCACACCTGTAAACAGCAGGCCGTCCTTCAAGTGTCTAATGAAAAGACACACTCAGAGCACAACCAACATACAGAGCAACAGCAGACTGGGAGAAAGACCTTCCTGGCACTAGATGAGTATACCCATCCTCCTTTCGTTTCTAGAATGGCTCTCAGCAGCACTGTAGCCAGCTAGAAACTATTCCTTGTAGATGATCCATAATAAAAATGCCCTCAGATAACATTGTATTTAATGGTGAAAGAATAAATATTTTTTCCTTCTGGAAAGGATGGCATTCTTCACATGGAACTAGAGGAGCTAGATAGGGTAATAAGGCAAGAAAAAGAAATGAAAGCAATAAGTCTTATATTAAAAAAATACATGTTCATCTATAAAGAAATGCCAAGGAATATATAATAAAGGTCTTAGACCTTATAAGTGAATTAAGAAAGTCACAAGGTTCAAAAGTAATACTTTAAAAAACAGCCCTGTGTCTATATTCCAGCCATGAACAATTGAAAATGTGAAATAAAAATCCCATTATGGGGTCAGAGAGACAGCTCAGTCATTAAGAGGACTTGCTCCTCTCTCAGGGGATCCAAATTCGGATCTTTGTACCCATACTGGACCGCTCACAACAGCCTGTAACTCCAGCTCCAGGAGATCCATCACCCTCTTCTGGCCTCCACAGGTACTGCATGCATGTGGTATACACAGGGGCACATATACATAAATGAAAATAAAATAAATCTTTTAAAAAATATCATGGCAACATCGAAACATTAAGCACTTATAAAACATGCGAAATTTGTACATAAAACCCAAAAGATATTGCACAGAGAAATTTACAAAGTTCCCTAAATGAAAGGCGGAGCTACTGTGTTCACAGGTGGGAGACCCTTGTTTCGCTGCACGGTCACTTCTTCCACGCCCATCAAAATTCCAGCAGACTTTTGGTTTTGGTAGACATTTGTGAGATGGCTACAAAGGCTACCCAGACAACAGAAGACCTAGAATAGCCAGAGGCAGTTTTGAGAAAGAAAAACCTTGGAAGAGCCATGTGATCTGCAAGGCAGTGTGTAATTGGGATAAGGACAGAGGTACAGAGGAACAGGACAAGGCAGAGTCCAGGAATACAGCCACACACCTACGGTTGAAGACGGGAAAGAAACAAATTCTACCAGGATAAATGCACACCCACATACAAACCCAAACAAACCTCAACCCTTACTTCACACTCTGTGCCAAAGCAAGGGGCCGGCCTGAATGTTAGAGCTAAACTCACAAGGATTTAGAAACCACTGGAGGAAAGCCACATTGTGTTAGACAAAAAGCCCAGGAGCTATGATCTGAAAAGTTTTAATAAGTTCTTTCCTCTTGCAGCACACTGCTCCAAAAGGTCGGGTAATGGATCAGCGGAAATGTTTGCAAAGCACCTATTTGGCGGACTTCTACAAAGCTACCTAAGCACAGGCATAAACAAGGACAGCAATAGAAATGCGTGGGAAAGGAAGCACAGACATAAAACACACCGTGAAAAAGGAAAACCCACTTAAACACATGGCAAAACCTGTGAGCAGACTCTTCACCCATCTGTATCTGACATGGAAAATAAACACACAAAGATGGTTTGAGAAATGCAAATCAAGACCACAGTGGGATGCCACTTCACACCCACTATGGCAATGATGAGTAAGACTGGCAATCTGAGGGCGAATCAGGATGCCTGGCAGCCGGCAATCATTGCTGGTAGGCACAAGGTGCTGTGGCCACTTTGGAAACAGTCTGGTAGTTCCTTAAGAAATTCAGCCTGTAGCCACCAGAGAAGCCAGTTGTTTCACTCTGAGGTATTTACACAGATGAGTCAAAGACAGCTGTCTACGTAAAGAGTTGTAAGAAAATGTTCATTAAAGCTTTATTCATAATCACCAAACAGGTATCAATCCATATGTCCAGCAATCAGTTACTGGGCAAACAGACTGTATAGACCCTTATAAAGAAATACTACTCTGTAGCAAAAAGGAGCAACCACACACACAGAGCCACAGCTGGATGATCTCAGAAGCACTTTGCAAAGTGACAGAAGCCAGAATCAAAAGGCTTATTATTGTGTTTGCAATAAATTATGCAAAGTGAAGAAGCAAGTGATGGTTCCATGAGTTGATAGCAAAGAAAAGATCAGAATTTTCCAGGACCTGTTTGGGAGGAGAGATTGACAGATGACAGAGTGGCTTGAAGGGGCCCTCTGGGGTGATGGGCGTATTCTGCATCTAGTTTTGGTGAGAGCTAGTTAAGCACATGCATTTGTTCAAACCCAGTGACCAAATACCTGAGATTAGTGAATTTAAAAATATGCAATATATTATTCCATATGTATGTACGTGAATATGCACATTTGTATGTAGAAGATGATTTTCTACAAAGTACTTCTGTCACTAGGGCTCGGCACACAGCGTCCAAGGCCAGCGAGGGCAGACCATTGTG